AGGACAGCCCTGAGTGGTGTGGCTCAATGGGTTCAGCACCATCCTACAAACCAAAAGGTTGCTGGTTGGATTCCTAGTCAGGGCACATGCCTGGACTGAGGGTCAGGGTCCTGGTTGGGGGGTGTGAGAGGCTACTCGATCAATGTTTCTCTCCTTCTCCTTCTCCCTCCTTTCCCCTCTCTAAAAATGAATAAAGTCTTTTTAAAAAATTAAAGAGTCAGGACAACCAAATAAAAAGTGTGATTGTTAATTAGATCATGCAGTTGGCAGGGGGAAGTATTGGGATTAGCTATAAAATTATTTGGGAAACAACTGGGGAATTCTTAATATGAACTGTAAATTAGATTATATTATTGTATTAATCTTAAGTTGCTTGATTCTGACAATGGTATCTTGATTATATACACTGTCCTAGCTCTTAAAGGATACATGCTGATGTGTGATGAAGCCTGAAGCTTTATTTAAATGATTCGGAAAATATGTCTGTGTTTTTCTGTATGTATAGAGACAGAAATAAAGATATGAGAGAAAAATGAGAAGAAGGGGGAGCAAATGAAGCAAAATATTAATCACTGATTCTAGGAAAGGGTAAATGGGTGTTCACTGCACTTCCAACTTTTCTGTAAGTTTAAATTTTTTCAAAATAAAAATATGTTAAGAAGTCAAAAGGTGGAACTGGCTATCCATGAAAAAAATTAAAATTAGGCGTAAACATATGAAAAATGTATGAGAATTCATAAACTTGATTATTTATGGCCTCTTATTTCCTCCTGCCTCTTGGCATTTGCTCTTTAATCACTTCAACTGCACTTCATCAAATGGGCCCAGGAGAAATGGGAAGTGAAATTTTCAATCATTCCATTTCACTTTTCATTAGCAGACCTAGAAAAAGGTTTAAAAGATTAAAAAGGTCAAAATTAGCTCATTACAATGATTTTAGATAGGACCTAGACTTTTAATTCACAACCTGCTCTTCAATTCTGATTCTTCTGGTCTCAACAACCCTAAGTGTTTGATAAATTCTAGGTCCTAAATGGACAAAAATGGGAAAAAATTAAAATAAAACATGAAAAGAACAGCAGGTTTTCTTTAAATGAAGAACAAATATTTGCCCTGGCTGATGTGGCTCAGTGGATTGACTACCAGCCTGCAAACCCCAGGGTCACCAGTTTGATTCCCAGTCAGGGCACATGCCTGGATTGCAGGCCAGGTCCCCAGTTAAGGTATGCAAGAGGCAACTGATCAATCTAGCTCTCGCACATTGATGTTTCTCTCCTTCTCTTCTTCCTCCCTTCCCCTGTCTCTAAAAATAAGTAAATTTAAAAAATAAATAAAATGTCTTCCCTGAGCATTGTTTAAAAAATAATAATAAAATAAAGACAGGGACTTCCGCCAAGATGGAGGTTTAGGTGGATGTGCCGTGCCTCCTCACACAACCAAGTTTAGGGACAACTAAATATTAGCATCAGAAAACACAACCAGAACACGGAAAACTGAACTTTTCGGAAGTCCGCTAACAACAAATTCTTCAGCCCGACCGGTAAGGGGCGAAACCGGCGTCGGGTGAGGAGTTACAAAGGAGGGCTCGGTCGGACAGACTCAGACGCGCTAATCCAGTCGCACGGGTTCCAAACCCAGGATTGGACCTAGTAAGCGACCGAGCAACCCACCGGGTGAGCGACTACAGAGGAGACAGTGGGGAGGCGGTGGCAGCGAGTTGACTGTGGTTGCCTAATTGCGCGCGAGTGAGGGAGTGAGCGGTTGGACCGGCAGCGGCGGCGGCACGCGCCGCCATTTCCCCGCTCTGACCATGCCCCCACATACAGCGTCACAACCCAGCGACCTGGGACTCCAAGGCGCCGCTTCTCCCACTTAAAGGGCCAGAACAGACCAAAAATGTCGCAGGGAGAACTCAAAACCCCAGAGATAAATCTAAGTGACGAAGAAATAGCAAAACTCTCAGACGCACAGTTTAAAACACTGGTCATCAGCTTCCTCACAGATCTGGTGGATTATAGCCACAAATTAGAGAAACATATGAAGGCTAAATTAAGGGAAATGAATGGAATTCCACAGGAAACCCATAGAGATGAAAAAAAACTGGGACTCAAATCAATGGAGTGGACCAGAAGGAAGAAAAAAAGATCAAACAGAAAGGAATGAAGAAATAAGAATTCAGAAAAATGAGGAGAAGCTTAGGAACCTCCAGGACATCTTTAAACACTCCGAATTATAGGGGTACCAGAAGGGGGAAAGACACAACCACCAGTGGAAAAACTATTTGAACAAATAATAAAAGAAAATTTCCCCAATCTGGCAAAGGAAATAGACTTCCAAGAAATCCAAGAAGCCCAGAGAGTACCAAAAAAGTTGGACTCAAGAAGAAACACACCAAGGCATATCATAATTACATTAGCCAAAATTAAAATGAAGGAGAGAATCCTGGAAGCAGCAAGAGGTAAGGGGACAATCACCTACAAAGGAGTCCCCATCAGGCTGTCAGCAGATTTCTCAAAAGAGACCTTACAGGCAAGAAGGGGCTGGAAAGAAATATTCCAAGTCATGAAATCTAAAGACCTACAACCAAGATTGCTCTACCCAGCAAAACTTTCATTTAGAATGGAAGGACAGATAAGGTGCTTCTCAGATAAGACCAAATTCAAGGAGTTCATCATCACCAAGCCCTTATTATATGAAATGTTAAAGGGACTTATCTAAGAAAAAGAAGTTAAAGAAACATGAACAGTGAAAGGACAACAAACTCACAGTTATTAACAACCACACCTAAAACGAAAGCAAACTAAAAGGACAGCTAGATCAGGAGCAGAAACATAGAAATGAAGATCTCAAGGAGGGTTAGCAACAGGGGAGTGGGAGGAGGAGAAGGGGGGAGAAGGTACAGAAAACAAGTAGCATAGACAGTAGATAGAAAATAGATGTGGGGGGGCAAGAATAGTATGGGAAATATAGAACCTAAAGGACTTGAGACACATGGACATAAACTAAAGGGGGGTAATGGTGGGGTTGGGGGGGCAGGGTGGAGGGGAATGAAGGGGGGAATAGAACAACTGTAACAGCATAATCAATTCAAAAAATAAATTTAAAAAAATAAAAAAATTAAAATAAATAAATAAATAAATAAATAATAAAGACAAATATATTTTTTATTTATTTACTTATTTTTAGAGAGAAAGAGGAAGGGAGGGAGAAAGGGAGAGAAACATCAATGTGTGTTTGCCTCTTACATGGCACCCACTGGGGACCTGGCCTGCAACTCAGGCATGTGCCCTGACTGGGAATCAAACTGGCGACCCTTTGGTTCACAGCCCATGATCAATCCACTGAGCTACACCAGCCAGGGCACAAATAAATAAATTTTTAAAAAAGAAAGAAAAAATGTTGACCTCTGCCATTGGTCTTACTTTTCTCTGGAGAGTAGTTTATAATATGGAAGGAAACAAATGAATTAACAATCTATCAATAGAAGTTTTCATTCTCACAAACAATATGATGGAATGTAGTGCAACGTAGTGATTCGAGGCAGGGGCTGTCAAGTCAGGTCGTCTGTGTTTGAATATTTACCATATTTTGCCATGTATAATTTGCATCCATGTTTTTGGCCCAAACTTTCACAAGAAAATCTTTCATTTTAATTTCTTAATTCAATTATTTACTTATTTATATTTAGAAACAAACCGATTACCATATTCCAGGGTATTATTTTGCATATGGATATCATTATTGCTCTCTAGAGTTACACTCTTAACACATAAGCATAAATAAAAGAATTAACATTTCTATAGATATGTAATTAGTACTACCCATGTATAATGTGCATCCTTATTTTTCCCTCAAAAATTTGGACAAAAAATGTGCATTATACATGGCGAAATATGGTATTCATCCCTTACGACCTATGTGATTTATGGCAAATTACTTAATCTCTGTATGTCTCAGTTTCCTCATCTGAAAAATGGAGAGAGCCAAGAGTAAAATTTATGTCTTGGTGTTGTTGTGAAGACTAAATAAGTTAGTACATTTTAGGTCTTAAACCAGTATCTGGCAATTTGTAAGACCTCCAAATATGTTAGACATTATGATCCTTTTATTACTAGTATTACCATGACTACAACCACCATTACCACCACTTTCAACCTGCAGTTGATGAGTTTGACATTTGATTCAGAAAAACTGTAGTAACACAAAAGAAGCACAACACCTCCCCCCACCCGCCACACCCACACAGGTTGAAAAAGTCAAGGAGAACAGACTCCAGTTCAGTCCTTTAGTATATCCTCAAGCTGTTTTGAGAGAAATTAAGGAGAGGGTAGCAATATACCAATAACACATGGCTCATTTGAAAAAGGAATCTGTGTGGTCTGGATAAATTAATCTCAGGAGAAATGACAAGTTCTCTCACTTGGTTAATCATTAATCAAAACCTTTTCTGGCATACTATAGTATGTATTAAGTATTGAGCCAGATGCTAGGAATGCAAAAAAGGAAGGATGTCTATGCCTTTAAACACTTTGGATTCTTGTCAAGGAAGTATACAGAGATCATAATACATGATAGGTTATATGATGGATGTATGCACAGGGTACCATGGAAGCAGAGAGATGCCTAGCTAGACTTAGTAGAAGGAAAAGCAGCAAAAAGATTTCCCAGAGGAAGTGACATTTAAACTTAGCCTTCAAGAATAGTAACAGTGAAATGGAGATAGAATAAGTAAAAATCATTCCTGCAGGGATAAAGCTGGCAAATGGAGAAAAAAGAGGAGCACCAATGCCCTATCTATAGCCATACAAAACCAAAAGACCTTTTCCTAAATCTCATGGGCAGAGCCATTGGAGGTATGGACCTGAACAGTTGTGCTTCTGGAATAGCTTCTGTTTGCACACATCACAACTCCACCCCCGCCCAATTCAGAATAAGCCACATTTGGAGAACTCACAGAAAGCTGTGACTGAGACAGATTCAGAGACAAGTTTCTCACTTACAACACTGGGCGGCAGCACTGGGCAACGGCTTCCTCTGGCTTTCTTCTTTAATAGTATACTAAGAAGCAGAAAGAAGAAAAAAACACTTATGATAAGTAACAAGAAAAAAATCACAGTTACCTGGAAAAAGGGTTAGCATTTGAGGAATCTAATTTTCTATTGAAAAGGAACACATGATCCTGCTGATTTCCTGATCCTGTGTGATCCTGACATAATGGCCAGAATATCAGACATGGCACTAGTCCAATGCAACAGGCTAAAGCAGGATAGCAGAGAGACTGTTCTGACCAAGGGTACCTGCCAAGTGGCTGTAGAAGGCTTAGTCTTAGAGAAACCTCAGAGGACTTAGAAAATTCAGTCCTCTAAGTTTTCCTGTGGATAAAGTTTAAATTTCTGCATTTGAGTGATAGAGCTGAAAACCTCTCTGAGCCTAAATTTTCTGATGTTTAAAAAAAAGTAATAGTGCTTCTTCCCTAATGAGATCATGTGAGAAATAAGTGAAATTACTTATTTAAGCAAGTAATTGTACATCTGAAGTCTACTAGAGTCCCCTTCACTAGAGACACACATTATACTCTAGCCTCCACCCCAACCCGCCACCATACCACCAAAAAATAAATACAGAACACTGAAGCCTTAAAAAATGGAGCATAATTAAGTTCAAGGCTAGAGGATGGGCAGGATTTAGAAAGGCAAAACAAGGAGGAAAAGGGCATAAACAAATTAACACAAGCACATAGAGTTTGGAAGACAGAATAGTTTGGTTCAGACCTCATTGGAAGGCTAGGAAAACATAATGTGGTTTAGCAACTTGAAAATAATCTGGAGTTTTCATCCTGACTCTACCACTTATTAATAAGCTGTGAAATTCTGGGCAAGACAGAGCTTCCCTAACACTGCCATTTAATGAGTCACTCTTTCAACAGATATTTCTTGAGCACCTATTATGTGCAAGGCCTGGTTCCAGGCAGTGGGGGTAATAGAGTTTGTAAACGATGGTAAGGAGTTTGGATTTAATTCCAGCGCATTGGGAAACCATTTACACTGTTAAACACAAGAGAGATGTGACTTGATTATACTTTAAAAAGCACTCTGACTGCTGTATAAGATAAACTGTAGGGGAACAAGAGCCACATGAAGAGATCCTCTGTGGCCTGATTTTTCCCCTTTGTCCCTCTCTACCCAGCAGCCCCCTACCTCGGGCAATCCCCACACCATTGCTCATGTCCATGGGACAGGAATACAAGTTTTTAGGCTACTCAATTTTCTATATTGTACTTTACATCCCCATGGCTATTCTGTAACTACCTACCTGTATTTCTTCAACCTCTTCATCCATTTCCAAACACCCTGCTCCCATCTGGCAACCAACAAAACGCTCTCCATATCCATGATTCTATCTCTGTTCTTTTGTTTGCTTAGTGTATTTTTTAGATTCAATTGTTGATAGATTTGTATTTATAGCCATTGTGTTATTTATAGTTTTAATCTTCATTTTCTTAAATAAGTCCCTTTAACATCTCATATAATAATGGTTCGGTGATGATGAACTCTTTTACTTTCTTCTGGTCTGGGAAACTCCTACTCTCCTCTTAGATTCTAAATGATAGCTTTTCAGGGAAGAACATTCTTGGCTAAAGGACAGTGCTTTCCATGAATTTGAATATTTCTTGCCAATTTCTTCTAGCCTGCAAAGTTTCTTCTGAGAAATCAGCTGACAGTCTTATGGGAACTCCTCTGTACGCAACTAACCTCTTTTTTCTTGCTGCTATTAAGAGTCTCTCTTTGTCTTTAACCTTTAGCATTTTAATTATGATGTGTCTTGGAGTGGGCCTCTTTGTCTCCATCTTGTTTGGGAGTCTGTTCCCTGGACTTGCATGTCTATTTCCTTCACTAAATTTGGGAAGTTTTCTTTCATTAGTTTTTCAAATACATTTCCAATTTCTTGCTCTTTCTCTTTTCCTTCTGGCACTCATAGGATGCAAACATTGGACCTCTTGAAGTTGTCCCAGAGGCTACTTATACTATCCTTGTTTTCTTGATTTTTGTTTCTTTTTTCTTCTTGTTCTTCTGATTGGTTGTTTTTTGCTTCCTTATGTTCCAAATCATTTATTTGATTCTTGGCTTCATCCACTCTACTGTAGTTTCCCTGTAAATTGTTCTTTATTTTCATCAGTGTATCCTTCATTTCTGATTGAATTTTATGCTACTGAGGTCCTCCATTCTGCTTAATTCTTTTTCAGGTGTTTTCATTTGTTCTTTCATTTGGGCCATGTTTCTTTGTCTCCTCATTCTGGCAACCTTCCTGTGTTTGTTTCTATGTGTTAGGTAGGGCTACTATGACTCCCTGTCTTGGTATCATGGCCTACTGTAGTAGGTGTCCTGTAGGGTCCAAAGGCACAGCCTGCCATCATCAAAGATGGGCACTCAAGATGTGCCCTATGTGTAGACTGTATATACCCTCTTTTTTGTAATTGTCCTTTGATTGCCATTAACAGATTAATGAGAGGGATTTACCCAGACCAGTCAGCTGCAACGATTGGCTGTGACCACTGACTATCAACCTCTGCTTCCGCGGAGGATCAGCTGTGCTGGAACAGGGTGGCGGTGCTCCAACCTGGTCTCCAGCTATCTACTGGGTGCACAGGCCCTGGGGTTTCCCTGGTGGTGCAGGCTAAGGTCAGCCCCCACCTGTGTTTTGCCCAGGACCACTCTGCCTGAGGTATAAAGCAATAGAAGATGGCTGCTATTTGTGCTGGGTTTGGAGATCCCCAAGTGAAGTCAAGCTGTGAATCTAGGCTGGCTAATGCTAGTACTGTGCCTGGGGCCACTTACCAAGGTGTATGTGGGCTGGGGCCTCACTAAGGCTGACTGTTGCTTGTTTGAAAGGGTTTAGGAAATTGTGAAGTATCAGCCAAAACCAGCCATTCATATAGAAAAGCCACTGTTAACTACTATAAGTGAAGCGGCATGGAGCTTCATGGGATCTCCGGCATAGGGCCAATAGTGTTAGCCAGGTTGATGGAGTCTCAGATATGTCACATGCTTACTAGCTCTGTGGCTCTGTGGGAGGAGTGTTCAGAAACAGAACAATGGTCCTGCCCGACCTTCTGTCAGGGAGAAAGATGTCACCCCAGCTCTAGCCTTGACGCCAGATACTTCCATTCCTCCCTGTATGCCACTGGTGCCTTTCAAGCTGCTACCCCATTGCTGGAGCTCAGAGGGACTGAGTCTGAGTAATCTGTGTGGGGGTTCTTTAGAAGGATCTGCTTGGCCTCTAGAAGTTTCTCCCACTGACTCAATCCCTGCTGGTTTTGCAGCCAGAAGTTATGGGGAATTATTTTCCTGGCACTGGAACTCTGGACTATGGGGCTAGGACTCCTTGCTCCTGAGATATCCTTCCTGAATTTATATCCACTACATGTGGCTGTTGGACCAGCCCATTACACACCTCTGCCCCCTCTTACCAATATGGATCAATGTGGTTTCTTTAATTCCACAGTTGTCATACTTCCATTCAACTCAATTTAGAATGGTTCTGAGTGATGGCTATTCTACATTTTAGTTGTAATTTTGATGTGGTTGTGTGAAGAGGCGGGCTGTGTTTACCTATCTCTTTTATTATTATTTTATTTTATAATATATTTTATTGATTATGCTATTACAGTTGTCCCATCTTCCTCCCTTCATTTCCCTGCACCCTTCACACCCTCTTCCATCCACATTCCCCCCCTTTAGTTCATGTGCATGTGTCATAAGTTCTTTAGCTTCTACATTTCTCACACTATTTTTACCCTCCCCCTGTCTATTTTCTACCTACCATGTATACTACTTATTCTCTGTACCTTTTGCCCCCTTCTCCTCCTCCCACTCCCCTGTTGATAACCCTCGATGTGATCTCCATTTCTATGGTTCTGTCCCTGTTCTAGTTGTTTGCTTAATTTGTTTTACGTGTGGTTGTTAATAATTGTAAGTTTGCTGTCATTTTACTCGTCATTTTTTTATCTTCTTTTTCTTAAATAAGTCCCTTTAACACTTCATATAATAAGGGCTTGGTGATGATGAACTCCTTGAACTTCTCCATATCTGACAAGCACTTTATCTGCCCTTCCATTCTAAATGAAAGCTTTGCTGGATAGATCAATCTTGGATGTAGGTCTTTGGATTTCATGACTTGGAATACTTCTTTCCAGCCCCTTCTTGCCTGGAAGGTCTCTTTTGAGAAATCCGCTGACAGTCTGATGGGAAGTCCTTTGTAGGTGACTGTCCCCTTAGCTCTTGCTGCTTCTAGGATTCTCTCCTTCATTTTAATCTTGGCTAATATAATGATGATGTGCCTTGGTGTGTTCCTTCTTGGATCCAACTTCTTTGGGACTCCCTGAGCTTCCAGGATTTCCTGGAAGTCTATTTCCTTTGCCAGATTGGGGAAATTCTCCTTTATTATTTGTTCAAATAAGTTTTCCACTTGTGGCTGTTCCTCTTCCCCTTCTGGTACCCCTATAATTCAGATGCTGGAACATTTAAAGATGTCCTGAAGGTTCCTAAGCCTCTCCTCATTTTTTTGAATTCTCGTTTCTTCATCCTTTACTGTTTGGTCATTTTTTTCCTCCTTCTGGTCCACTCCTTTGATTTGAGTCCCAGTTTCCTTTCCAACACTATTGGTTTCCTGTGTATTTCCATTCATTTCCATTAGTTTAGCCTTCATATGTTCCTCTAATTTGTGACTAAAATCAACCAGTTCTGCGAGCATCCTGATGACCAGTGTTTTGAACTGTGCATCTGAAAGGTTAGCTATCTCTTGTTCACTTAGATTTATTGGCTCTGGGGCTCTGAGATGTTCTTGAGCCATGTTTTTATCTGTTTGTGCCTATTAGTATGAAGAGCGGAGCCTTAGTTGTTCACCAGGGTGGGGCCACCCAGGTTGCTGGTTTATGATGCTGTATGTGGAGGGCAGGGTCAGAGAGGGACAATGGCAGTTCTCTCTGCCGCTTTCTGCTGCCGGGGCCTGCGCGGTTTGTCTCACCACCGCTAGCTCCTTCACCGGTTTATCTGCGTGCG